TAGACTGTACATACCTAATGAGTACAATTTGATGAATGTTGATAGCAGCATATTCTTATAAAACTATCATCACAATCAAGATGATGAACATTTGTGTCACCACCAAAAGATTCTCCGTGAGCTTTTTAAATTGAGCCTCCTTCCTTTCCTCTCGTCTCTCATCCCAAAGCAATCGTTGATCTACTTTTTGACACTTGAGCTAAAATTTCTGGAATTTTACATAAAAGGAATCATACAACATATATAATTTTTGGGGTCTGCTTTCTTTCATTCAGCATCATTATTTTGATAATCATCCACTGTCCCATCTACTAAACATTCATTCTTCTTATTGGCTGAATAGCACTTCCATCCACGTATATACTGTTACCTGTTGACACATATTAAGAAAACTCCCAGGGTTTAGTCTATACAAATGAAGGTATTATACACTTCTGTCTATATCTTTGTGGAGGACAACCCTTTTTATTTCTTTGCAACATTGTTTAAACTAAGGAGATTACTTTCCAATATTGTTGTACTGTTTTCCATTCCAAAGGCAGTGTGGAGATGTAGAATCTCTCTGAATCCTCACTAACTGTATAGTGAAGGGTCAGGGAGAAACTCAACATTATGATTTGTCTTAACTTAGTTTTCTCCACATTCTTTACACTTGAGTTTTGTTGGAGTTCTTGGAGATTTCATTTTAGAATTTTGATTAAATTTGGAAAAACTTCAGCCATTACTTCTTAAAATAATGCTTGTTTTTGTCTCCCTATTTCTGGGGCTCCAATTCCACATGCATTAAAGCCATGAAAAGTTGCTCCACACCTTGCTGCTCTTCTGCTCAGCTATTTCTAACTCATTTTTCTCTGTGTTTGATTTTAAACATTTTCTATTGCTAGGCCTTCAGTGTCACTAGGGTTTTAATCTACAATGTATTATAATAATACATGTAATAAAAACATCTGGCATTATATTCTTTATCTGTGGACATAAGAATCGAACCTGTGTCTCCCTCAGCATAGGAAGCATGTTTTGTAAGAAACTATTGTAATGTAATTGCTTACCAATTCTCTCACTTATGTTACTTACCAAATGCCTGACGACCATTATTTTGTGTGTTTTGCACATTTTTCAAGTTCCTTGAGGTAAAGGGCTAAGTTCAGCTCCTGTTACTCTTCTAGGGCAGGAATCAGAGAGTAGCTCTAGATTTTTCCACATAATCAGCTTAGACTAGGTTTTGGATCCCTAGTAATACCAGGTAAAAAGTAAAAATTCTGAGTCATAAACTGATAGGGTTCTTAAAGATGACCTTGGATTGTCTTCCCCACTCATCTCCCCTCAGGTTTCATTTGATGGATTGCAGAACAGAGATCAGGAAAGGCAGACTCTTCCCAAAGTCACATTGCAAACTAGCCACAAAATAAGACAGAAATCAAGCCTTTATTTTTAATTCATACAGTGATTTTTTTCTACTTGTTTTCTCTTACAACCTAGTTTATTTGGATAGATTATAGCTTTGAAATCCAAACTTTGTGCTTCCCCAGGCTACAGAGTGGGCAGTTATTAGCTCCCACCTAGATGCTATTTCATTTCGATTGACTTTTGCAGCCACAACTCCTAGGGGTTAGCTGAAAGTAAATACTACCAAAATAGCTCAAATCATTGAAAAATTAAAACACTTCCATGAGAGTCAATCCAGGACAAAACTATATATTTCCCCCTGTTGCTTTATTGTGAACTTCTTAAGTAGAAAAAGATATGACTTAGAACTTAGATTGGTTCCCTACAAAAGTCAACTTTTTCATAGTTCCCTGTGAGCCCCCACAAGTCCAGTGGTTCCTAGTCTCCTTTCACCTGATCTTAAAAAATGGATTGGCTACGTCTTGAGAAACCCTGCTGTCATAACCCTCCTTAAAACAGTCTAGGAAATGCTGGTTTCAAAGTCTCCTAGAGCAGATTGTAGTAATTAGCTTCAACACTTACAGTCGCACTTTGGATAAGTGACTTAACCTCTCTGTAAGGGCTTTGGCTGACATTGTAGCACACCATCATTATAACTAATTATTCATCTCATATCTTAGCACCTTTCCAACAATAGTCAACTTTGCAGGTTTTTTCTTTCTTTTTTCCAGATTTATTTTATTTATTTATTTATTTATTTTTTTACTGTGTAGAATGTTTTGCCTGCTTGTGTGTCTGTGCACCATGTGGATGCAGCACCCACAGAGGCCAGAAAAAAATCATCGGTAATTACTATTGTTGTTGTTGTCGTAAACATCATCATCATTATCATCATCACCAATGATAAAAAGCAATACCTGATCAGGTCACAGGCCTTCCAAATTCCCTGTTCTGAGTGCCGATACACAGGTGGAGCTGCTTGTCTGGAAAGTTGGAGGCTATCATGCTGCTCACCGGTGTCACAAATTATCACTGTAGTTCGGCCCTCGGTCTTTCTTGCTAGAAGGATTTTGCCCTCTACTTTAAGCCTATAAATACCATTATCTCAATACCACCTTTGCTTCTATTAAATTATAAAGGTGGGAAAACTGTTGTTGTGACTTCTTGGGTCATCTTCCCAAACTCTTATTAGTTCATTTCAAATATCGCCCCCACTAGCTAAGGAAGCCTTCTGGTTGTAGTATAATGCAAACAAGGCAGGCTGCTTGCATTGTAAGGCCTTACTTCTCCTGAACTTCTTTCACCACATACACACACACACACACACACACACACCATCCGAATCACCTCTCGCTGTGCCCATGAATATAGCTGTAGACTCCATGAACTGGTCCTGAAACAGGTAAGTAGAGAGGTTGGCTCTTTGTCTCCTTCTGGTTCCCAGCAAGTTAGTGCACTCTGAAGAACCCCAATAAAGAGGAAGAAATGTCAGAAAAAAAAATGGACTTTGTCTCTGGCCATTTGGAGCAAGCAACACTTCCCAAGCAATTGTAAAATAATTGAATCTAAGCCAACTGATGCTTGACAGTGCATGCCACCCAGGATCTTGCACCATGGCCAATGTGAGGCTGGGAATTAATAATAGTGAGCAATTATCATAGAAACTGTCTCCAGGAAAAACGACTTTTTTTTTTTTTTTTTTTACCATTCAGCCTTGGGAAGATAAAATCGGGTCTAGCAGAAAAAGACAAATGATCTAAGAGCAAAAGCTGAACTTGAAATCCAAAGAGCATCCCGGGACATGACTATGCACTAGCCACATCTCCCTGTCCCAACTCCGAATCATGTGGTCATCCTGTGCTATCCCTAATACCTCCTGGCCCTTGCTTGTTCTTCTCGATGCTAATTTCCTCTTTCCTGAAGACTCTGTTAGACCCCTCTGTGTGTCCTGTTGAGCTCTTCTTGAGTTTCCTATGGCAGCATTTCCTTCTGCCCTTTCTCCACCCAGTGTCCCACCTGCCCCCATGCAAGCATTGCATCTGGGAAAGCACAGAAAAGCAGAAACCTCCTCATATTGCCCTACTTTAAAAAAAAATGAACAGGAATGGTTTATTGTGTCAATATTCAGGCTGAGTGATAAGAACATGCTTATTTAAATATTTAATTATTTAAATTACTTAATTATTCTCACTATACTTGTGTATACTCTAAATTACGCATAATAAAACAGATCTTCAACAGTTGTTCACGGATGTCAAGTTAAAGCCCAGAGTCCTCGGGTTTGCCTTCAAGGTCCCTCAGGCTGTCTGTAAGATACCATAGCCACAGCCTTCTGTATTTCTCAACCTTGGTATGCAGCCCTATCTTGGACCATGCACTTCCACATAACAGAGCAGCTGCCTCCCCTCCTGCCTACAAAGTGCTTCTTTCTCTCTTGGAGGCAGTCAAATCAAAATGATTCCTGATCCATCAAAGACATCTTCCCAAACTCTCCCCGATCCCGAGAAGATGGGGATGGGGGAGGGTGTGTCCTTTGGCCCGATATGCATATATGCTGAATGTATTTCAAGAGAGCAGAATGTTTTTAGTTACTCAAATAGGTACGAAATTTACTTCAACTTGGGCAAATTGAGTAATTCAAGTTGGCTTCTGCTTCTCTCTTTAGGAAATGAAAGTAATCGCTGTACTTATCTCACAAGATTGGGTTTACCTCCAGTTTGCTTTGTCCTCTACGTAAACAAAGGAAGATGATATAGGGGAGATGGGAGAGGAAAAAGGAGAGAGGAGGTGAAAGAGAGGGAGGGAGAGGGCAGAGGAAGGGGAAAAGGAGGAATGGAGCGGAGAGCAGAGAGCTGAGAGCAGAGAGGAAGGCAAGAAGGGAGGGAGGGAGGGAGGGAGGGAGAGAGGGAGGGAGGGAGGGAGGGAGGGAGGCGCGCCTGAGACCGACAGGCACACAGACTTCAAGCATAGTGTGGATAAATAATTACCCAACTTGTCCAAGATGGAATGTTTCTGAAACCTACAGGTAAGACGCTGCTGTTTATGGGAGCGAGGGAAAAATAATTGCCATCAAAGCTGCGATTCCGCTCTGGAAACTGAGGACAGTTCGTATTAGGAGGGAGGTCTTCAGAGGTCCAGACTAGAGTCTCCCCACTCTAAAGTCTTTAGCAGTGATCTCGCCCCAATTCCAGGGGCTAAGGGCTAGGAGCTAGGGCTTACATGAAAACTCATCCTGGTGACAGCTTCAGTCTGTGAGCCTCAGAGTGCTTGTGATGGGATGCAGGGTGACAAAATCTGTGTGGGTCCATTGCGAGTCATTCCCCCTCCTTTCCCGCCCCACTGTCGCTGCCACCAGCCTCGCTCCTCTGGGTTCAGTGGCCTCGTGCGTCACCGGCGCGGGCGGGGACAGAGGGGGGGGGCGCTGCAAGGTGAGGGCACAGCGCGGCTTTAAGAAGCCGCGCGCCTCCGCCACAGCTCAGAGCTTGCGGCGCTGCGCGCTGGCCGGACGTGCGGGCACAAGCTCCGTGCCCGGCTCCAGACGCGCCCGCAGCTCCTTCCACTCGGTGCGAGCTTGCAGCCGCCTGTGCCCCGAAAGGTGGCCAGACGAGCGGCGAGCCCCGAGGGATCGGTCCTCAGCTCCTGCAGCGCAACGTCTCTAGCAGCAACAGGTAAGCTGTTGAGCTCCCCTTGGGTCGCCGCGGGTCCCCAAGCCCAACAGATCCCCTAACCCAAGCGCCAGGACACCCTTTTGCCAAGGCTAGAAGGTTAATAACGTTGCGCGTGAGGTCCGCCAGGGCTCTCCAGGTGCCCTGGCTTATCCCGGGCACTTTTTCTCCTGCGTCCTCTCCCTCTCCCTAATTTTCATGTTTCCTTCCTGCATTCTTTTATTCTCAAACCTCTCTCTCTCTCTTTTTAAATTCTGGTTAGCTTTTTCTTTTCCCATTTCTCCATGCCCCTGTCTCCTACTGTCTCTCTCTCTCTCTCTCTCTCTCTCTCTCTCTGTCTCTGTCTCTGTCTCTCTGTCTCTCTTTCTCTCTGTCTCTCTCTCTGTCTGTCTCTCTCTCTGTCTCTGTCTCTCTCTCTCTCTTTCTCTCTTTCTCTCTCTCTTTCACACACACACACACATTCTTAATCTTTTTTTCCCTCTCTCCCACTCTAAGGATCCTATTTGTTCTTTCTTGGTTCTCCTTCCAATTCACTCTCTCACTTTCTCTGTGTCTCTCATTCCCCTTCAATCTCTCTCCCTCTCTCTACCTTTCCAAGTTTCCTGCGCTCTCCCTCTCAGACCCCCGACCCGGTCCTTGCGCACCCCTATCTCTTTACCTATTCTTCAATCTCCCCAGCTCGCTCCTCTCACCCCCACCACCCTGCGGTTCAGACTCCTAGCCGGCTGGAAAATATAGGGAGGATGGCGAATTTGCGGCATGAAGTAGTGTTATAGGTATCCACCTTGCATGCTCCAGCCGCCACTGCGCACTGAGAAACTACGCATTTTATTTGACAAAGCTCTGGGGGCCAAGGGGGCAACTGGTTTCCATTGCAAGATAAAGACAGCAGAGAGGTACATGGAGACAAAGATCCAGGTAGAGGAAAACTGGGCGGAGGGGCTCCCAGAGAAGGATGCTGAGCGATAGTGATGTACGCATATTCAAAGAAGCAGAGAAAGAGTTGGACTGAATGGTACTTGGTTGCTGAGAATGAAAGGCAGGGATGAACTGGAATACACTAGAGTACACACCTAGAGACATCGTTTGAATCTGCTTAGCTTAGAGCCCTAACCAGAGTGTTAAGGAACAAGAGGGAGGAGGGACAGGTGTGGCAAGACAGAACTTTGGTACTTAGAAACCCAGTAAAGGAAACTAAGGAGAGTTCCAGAGAAATGTGAGGAAGAGCTCTGTTTGTGAGACTTGAGACACATAAGTCTGAGAGAACCCCGGACTCGAGAGTCAGAGATACCAAACAGGTGTGTTAGGAGCCCAAAGGGACGATCAGGGAAATTCACCAAGAGAAAAAGACCCAGGGAGAAGAGGTGTGCGTGCGCGCGCGCGCGCGCGCGCACACACACACACACACACACACACACACAGCTACAAAGCGAGTTCCTTAGTGGAAAAAAAAATGACGCAGAGCCTGAGAGACAGAGAGCTGACAGTGGGAGGGAGAGACAGCATATCAGACAGAGGACAGGGACAGCCAGACATAGGCAGACTTTGTATATGCTGGTGGGAAACTGAAAAAAAAAAAAAAGACTATGGAGTGAAGGATGAGACAAAGTACCTGGAAATAGGGGCATGCACTCTGTGATAGAGGAAAAGTGCCCCAAGTAAAACACAGGAGACAGAAATCTAGAGTCACAAGCAGGCAGACACAGAGTGCAAGTGCATGCGTCATCTAAAGAGAACAGATCTCCAAGATTCATGGAGGAGACAGGCTGAGGGAGTGCCCCCCGAACTAACGGGAACGACAAGCAAGAGGAAGAGAATGCAAGACAGACTGGCAGCAAGACCCCAAGAGTTAGAAAAGGAGCTGGAGAAACTGCTCTGATTGGGGTTGAGAGTGCACAGGGGTCTCATGGAGGGGCCCTGCAGCGCTGCTGCTGGGCGCAGAGGCTTGTCTCTGCAGGGCACTAACCCTCCCACATGTTTCTCTCCTCAGCCTAGATAGTGTGCAGTCTGTGCATCTGGCTGCCCACTGGTGCAGAAACTGAGTTGCACCTTGTCTCCCGCCTGCCCACCATCACCATGACACCCACCTGCACCAACAGCACTGGAGAGGACAACAGCAGCCAAGCGTGCATGCCCCTCTCCAAGATGCCTATTAGTCTAGCTCACGGCATCATCCGAGCCACAGTGCTCTTTGCCTTCCTCGCTGTATCCTTTGTGGGCAATGTAGTGCTTGGGTATGTACTAAACCATAAGCCACAGTTAATGCAGGTGAGCAACCGGTTCGTCTTCAACCTCCTGATCACTGACCTGCTGCAGATTACCATCGTGGCTCCCTGGGTGATAGCCACCTCCATTCCTGCCTTCTGGCCTCTCAACAGCCAGTTCTGCACAGCCCTGGTTAGCCTCACTCACTTATTTGCCTTCGCTACTGTCAATACCATTATGGTGGTGTCAGTAGATCGCTACCTGTGCATCATCCACCCTCTTTCCTACCCATCAATGATGACCACCCGACGTGCTCATAAGCTCCTCCAAGGCACCTGGTTTCTGGCTATACTGCAAAGCACACCTCCTCTCTACAACTGGGGCCAGGCTACTTTTGATGAGCGTAATGCTCTCTGTTCCATGATCTGGGGAGGCAGCCCCGTCTATACCATGATCAGTGTGGCGTCCTTCATTGTTGTTCCATTGGCTGTTATGATTGGCTGCTACTCTGCAGTGTTTGGTGTAGCCCGTCGGCAGCATGCTCTCCTGTACAACAACGCCAAGAGCCGCAGCTTGGGGGTAAGAGCCAAGGACTCTGTGAAGACTGAGAATAGACGGGGAATAAAGAAGAGGGATGAGTTCCAGGATGAGAATGAGTTCCAGAGCAAAGATGGAGGTCGTCGAAACAGCAACTGCAACCCACCTTTGCCCCCGTGCTATCAGTGCAAAGCTGCCAGAGTGATCTTCCTCATCATTTTCTCCTATATGATATCGCTGGGGCCCTATTGCTTCATAGCTGTGCTGGCTGTGTGGGTGGATGTCCAAACCAAGGTACCCCAGTGGGCGATCACCATAATCATCTGGCTTTTTTTCCTGCAGTGTTGCATCCACCCTTATGTCTATGGCTACATGAACCAGAGCATCAAGAAGGAAATCAACGAGGTACTGAGGAAGCTACTCCGTAAGAATAGGCCTTTTACAGAAGTCAGCCACCGTGACCTGCATGAAACCGAAGCTGGCATAGAGGGAGGGATTGAAGACAAGATTGTCCCCTCCTATGAGTCTGCTTAAAGTTGGTTCTATGGCAAGCATTTAAGTGTCCACAAAACAAAAACAAAAGCCGCTTTCTTTTCAGTGCACCACCCCCAGTCTCATTAGTGCCAGTTTTTACCATTCCAGGCAAAGGTGTTGCGCACACATTCCTTCCCACCATGAGGCAGGTAAAGAAAGGTAAGGAAGAAGCAGAGACTTGAATCTTTCCTGAAAGGTATAAGCCCATCAAAGATTGGAATTGAGGATTCCTACCAAACATATATGTATATAACATATTAGGCTCTAAATTTCCTAAAACAAGGGCTGTCTGGTGTGGAACTGTTCGCGGTGTTTATTTTGCCTGCCTCTCCAGAGCTACAACATGGCAACTTTAGCTCGGCGTAAAAGGGCAAGTGGCGCCTGTGGACAGAAGGAATATTTGACCTTCAGGTCATAACTCATGGACTGGGGCTACATATTGTGCTCAACTGACAGAAAAAACAATTGATCAAATCACTTTTGGAGCCCCCAAAGCAGAGCTAGGTGGACAGATCATCGTATGAGCTGATTTCTGTACTGAAGAGCCCCACGGTACGGTGCAAAGACTATAATGCAAGCTTCAACAAAGGGGAATTATGCAGGTAGTATATAAAGAAAGCTTCTGGGTCCTCTAAAGCGATCCAGAAAAATGCACACAGGAAATGGGGAGTTGGTCCAAAAGAAGAAGCGGAGAAATAAGACATAGCCATGGAGCTAAACAATTGTGTGTTTCTTTTTTCTTTCTTTCTCTCTCTCCTCTCTTTCTCCATCCTCCCCTACCCTAGGTGTCCACATGGGTTGTGACTGACAGTGATTTATCGCTAAGTTCAAAAGATACCTGGGTGAAGTGGCTTATTTGATCAGTTTTCTTGTGGGCAAGAGGTATTTCCTTACAGGTTTGAAACAGGCATTGAAAGGTGGCAATGCCCAGCCTATTGCTAGAAACGCCTCCATAGAAAACAGGATTTCAAATGTGTTTCTAACATTTTGTTGCAACTGAACTTTCTATTTTATTTTTAAAGCTCAACCCCTTCAAAGTGTAACAAAGAAAACTGTTTGCCCAAATACAAAATCCAAATGGAACCAGAACCTGTCCAAGTGTGGTAAGTTCATTTGACAGCACACACATCTTCCAGGATGCTGAGACTCACCTGCTCCTAACACAATCTAAATTTCCCTCTTTTCTTTGCTGTCCATAATTTGGCAAATTGGATTCTTTAAAGGTGAAGACCTTTTGAAAACAGTGTGAAAAGGACAAGCCTTGAATTAAAAGCATTCTGTCTTGATGACATTTTCTTTTAATGCACAATAGGTCTTTTGGGTAGCACGGAGATAGCAACTGCCTCAAGTTTTGTGCTGTTTTGAATAAAGAGCTAACAACTTAATGAGTTTTTATTCTACATGTTGTTTTGCCTTTTAAAAATATGAAATTACACAAAAAGTCATCATTAGCCTCACAGATAATCATGCACAATCACTCTCCCAAATGTTTATAGAGGATGTATTCTTTTATCAAATCATTACATAAGTGCAGTAGCAAAAGATTCTGGACTTGGAAATGATGTGTCTTAAATTTAATGATTTCCTTATTTAAGAATAATAGGGCATCTACTCTGCAGAGGAGTCGCAGGTGCTTTAACACACCAATTTCAACAAGGTTTAGAAGGCAGTACTAAGGAACAGCCGTTGGGTTTCTGCGAATTCTGAGATATGGAAAGCATCAGCTATGACAAACTTCCCATGTTGAAGGTGTACACTCACCCACTCCTCTTCCAGCCTTTCCGATGGCCCCAAACCACCCAAGCTTAGGCATGAGAGGGCAGAAGCATGAGCTGGAAACAACAGAGTAGAGCCTAAAACCCTGGAAGAAAGGACACCTTTCTAACTACATATGACATCTTCCTTGATAGCAAATGTTTAACATGTGTATTAACACACTTAGGCTATAAGGAACAAAACTGGTAAGAGGAAGAAACAGGAAAACTCAAATACACTGAACTTGGCCACTGCAAGGTCACTGGCAAGTTCACTGTTCTTTGGTAAGTAGGGTAAGAATCCTCAATGAACATGACGGTTACCAATAGGAATTAGGTTTCCATCACTGCCTCCCAAAGCCTCCATATCTTTAGAGTATACACATTAAGGGGAAATCACAGCAACTTGTACATGTAAGGAGGTTTGCTGTGTGAAGATTAATTGCTGTATTTCTTTTGCTCTTAAGGAGACAAAAACAAGAATGGTTTTGGTTTGATGCTTCAAACTTGAGTGGATTTCCCCTCTTCGTTTGTTACAATTTTGTGAAAAATCAGTACTTTTGTCTTGTGTTAATGCTGTGTTCTTTTGTGGTACTTCTTCTAGATGTAAGCTCTAACTGTAAATAAAATGTGTTCTTGGATTTGAGGTGCTAGATAGTAGGTTGTATGTGTTCTTAGCTAGTGTTATTAGTGAAAAGTGAGTGATGTGTCCGTGTGAAGTTAGTTAACAAAATGCATGCACTACGCTAGCCACAACTTTTGAAGTAGAACATAGTACATTCTTTTACCTTTGAAAGTGTATACTACAGGATATGGAAGACGGCTCCAAGACGGTGCAGCAGGAAGAGGTGCCTCTTCGTTCCTTAAATCCCTGGTACGTGACAAGCAGGAACTTATTTTGGTACAAGCGGTAATTGATGTGAATTAAATTATCATCTTGGCTGAAGTCCACGCTGGCAGTTCTCCACAATACACCTGGCACGGGTATACCTGTTTGCTTCAGTGTATAGAATAATAGAATACAAAGTCAAAGAAGACAGTCCTTTCCCCATAAAAGAGCAAGAACCCCAGGACAGGCTATTGGAGCAGATGAGAAGAACACTGCAGTTTCAAGACTGAAACAGGAACCAGTTCCTGATTGGAAGTTATTGGACTTGTACTTAACTGATCTATATTGTGACCATCCCTGCCCTCCTAGATAAGTGCCAAAACCCAGAAAAGGACTGCTCTGTTTTTACCCACTTTGGCTGTCTCAGACCTGATGCAGTATTGGTAAAGAGACAGTGAGATTTCTCGGGGTGGGGGCAGGGATTGCAGCTCAGGTGTTTGAAGAGTTACAGTTGTAGATCAAATATATTTACAAAAGAAATAATAGTATTTTATTATATTTTGAGAACAAAAGTATTACAAGAGGATATATATATATATATATATACTCATTAAATCGTTTCTAAAACTGCCTTTAATACCAAATTTCATGTGCTATTTTGAGACTGAGAACAATAGGAAAATTGCACTCAGTCAATAAAACAATTCTCTTTAATACTTTCCACTTTAAATTTAAAAGTTTCCTTTAAAAGGGGTTTGTAATTTAAAAGTGCCTTTTCAAAGGATTTTCAAAACTACAGTCCTGGGACCAAGTTCCCACTGGCACAACTTACCTTCAGGTGCACAAATGGGGTGGAATTTATTTTCCACTTTTCAGCAAGAAGAGAAATCCCCTCACACTCCAATCAAATTTATGAATTGATATTGTTCCATGGGCCAGTAGTCTCAGAGACTCTGCCCAAAGTCAAGGTTTCATAGATTGGATGGTTTTAATTGAATGCTTTCTAAACTGGTTATGATGCATTTATCACTGGACAAGAATAACAGACTCCTGCTTGGGGAATGCAGTGAGATTAACATTTGTGATTTAACTATTATTAAATGTTTGTGTTTCTTAAATAGGTGCTGTTAATCTGTCCTTGGTGTATTCTTCTGAAATATTCGAAATAAAGCCTAATTTGATGTGTGCATCTGGTTCCTATATTGTGCTCGTTGAGAACAAAGGGTGCCACGTGACATTCCCATCCCTCCTCTTTTGTGGAGACAGAATAAGCAACTCACTGTGTCCAATTCCCTCCATGGGCAACTGCACTCTTGTGCACCATATTTTAAGATAAAAATGAAAAATTACACAGTAGTACAGTGTCGGGAGAGGCACATTGTTTTGTGCTCAATGAATAAAGAAAATTTCAAAGTGAAATGGGGTGAGTAGAGAGGAAACATGAATGGGGCCAGATACCTACATGTTTGTTCAGTCTGTGTGTGTGTGTGTGTGTGTGTGTGTGTGTGTGTGTGTGTGTACGCGCACACGCGCGCGCACGCATGCCTGGTGTCCTCAGAGGTCAGAAGGGTACATCACATGCACCAGAACTGGAGGTATGAACAGGTATAAGTTGACATGTGGGTACAGGACATCACACTCAGGTGTTCTATAAGAGCAACAAGTTCTCTTAGCCATGTATCCAGCTTTGCAAGTGGGATTAATTAAAAAAAAAAAACCTGCACCCTGCCAGGGCAGCGCAACAGAGCCAAGCGTGTTAGTGCAGGTGTGGATGAGGCATCAATGTCTGGGCAGGTGGGAGAGTTGACCCTGTGGCTTTAAGAGCAGGAGAACTGTCCTTGACCCTCACCAGCTGCAACACCCGGGAGAGCAGGCCCTGGCCCTTGTCGGGACAGCACAAGAGAGCCATCCCTGTTTAACTCAGATATGAGCAATCCAGCCCCGAAGTTGAGAGCATGGGAGAGCTCTCCCCATTTCTCATTTGTCCTGTGGCAACATGGCCTGTGGCAGGTGGGAGAGTTGACCTTGTGGTCCTAAGAGTGGGAGGGCTAACCCTGACACCACCAGCAGCAACACCCAGGAGGACCCGCCCTGCACTATGCCGGAGCAGCACAATAGAGCCAACCCCATTAGCAGAGGTGTGAGAAAGCCAGCCCCGAAGTTGAGAGTATGGGAGAGATGTCCCCAGTTCTCAGCTGTCTTGTAGCAGCATGGGCAGGGCAATGAGGCATCCCTGCCTTTCAATGCCTGAGGTAGGTGGGAGAGCAGGCCCTATGGTCATAAGTGTGAGAGACCCATCCCCGACCCTCACCGCCTCCAACACTTGGGAGAGCAGACCCTGTACCTCACCAGGGCAAAATGAAATACAGCCAACCGTGTGCATACAGAGGTGGATGAACCAGCCCTGAAACTGTGAGCA